AAACAACACTGTTACAATATATTTGCAACTACTTTATTGGTTCTACTCTCTCCAACAAAATGCAGCCACAATATAATATTTCTTTAAAAACTAAATAATGTAAATCAACTGAGCTACAACAAAAGGAACATTCAAAAATGTACATAATATTGAAATAACACATGAAAACGAATGACTGAACAAGTCAAAAGGCAAATATGCTTCAGCATAAATGATCTAAAACTAATGTGTGACAACTGAAATGTGTGAAAGACTACAGAAAACAACTAATATTGTCCTAGCATTCAGTACTGGCATTCAGGGCAGTGTCCAGATGTGCCATCAGAGTAGTAACGAGGGAACTCTCCTCATCTTCCATGTCCAGTGAAGCCCACAGAGTCTTTATGTTGCCGGTTGCAGGAAGAACATCTTACAACCGCAAAAGGAATCCTGTTTTCTGCCTTGCATGAGTCTGAAAATGTCACCCAGCTGATCTCACCTGTTGATGAAAAACTGATTTTATGTAGTTGAAATCTAATTTCACATGTTTTAGGTGAAAAAAGTCAAAGGTCCTTACCATCTAGCCAAGCAAAGTGAGTCTTCCTCCTGAAAACTGGGTCAGACACAATGGCTTCTAAGCACTTGCAGGTCAATGCCAAGGTGAGGGAAGATGTGCCTCCCTGTGCCAGAATCACCTCCTGGAGAACAGCTTCCAGTGCAATCAAAGGCATCTGAAAATAATAATAATAATAAAAAACATGTGCAATGCAAGACTCATACTGGAAGAATGGCTATGACATGATTATAAATGAATCTTAAAAAAAGAAATGAATAAAATTAAAAACATCTATATACATTGCAGATATGTTTAAACAAGATGTGATTCATTCTCACTCAGAACAGAGTGAGGACTCAGCCTAATAGCTACTAAGATAAAAGAAAAAGGTTATTACACACCAGGAAATACAAATGATTGGTAGAACAAAAGGCATGTTTGAATTAATCACTGTAGATTCTTTAACATTGTTGTTACTGTTTTGTAGGATTTAACAATTAATTCTAGAAGTCACAATGGCTTCCAGATAACAAATATATGTTCTGCACAAAATGAACATCCAAAGATTAACTAATCAGATTTATTCAATTACTCTGTAACTTTGATAAAAAATAAAATAAAATAATTAGGACCATTTTTCCAAATGTTATACTCTTGAGTTAATTTTGTTGGTATGCAACATAATGCAAGTAACTTAACTGAATGAAGATCACATTTTAATCCATAAAAGAATTAAAACACGATACACTGATAAATGTTGTTTATGTTAGGTTTCTTCTAACCCTTAATTTGTTGTCTTGTACTAAAATACCTAACAGTGCACATAACTTCATTTTTATTAATGTCTGCTGAAATAAATGGGTAATATTATAATCAGTAAAACAGTACTTAATAATAGCCATTTCACAAAATACTTTGTTACTTTTAAATGTGTAGTTTGCTGCACAGTTACTAAAAATACATTGTAGTGCTGCTCATCATTACAGTATCATCTCTGGGTTCTACACCCACTTATGATGGCAGCTGTTAGCTTCTAAAAAAAGCTGTTAGCTTCTAAAAAAAGCTGTTAGCTTCTAAAAAAAGATGTTAGCTTATAAAAAAAAGCTGTTAGCTTATAAAAAAAGCTGTTAGCTTATAAAAAAAAGCTGTTAGCTTATAAAAAAAGCTGTTAGCTTCTAAAAAAAGCTGTTAGCTTCTAAAAAAAGATGTTAGCTTATAAAAAAAAAGCTGTTAGCTTATAAAAAAAGCTTTTAGCTTATAAAAAAAGCTGTTAGCTTATAAAAAAAAGCTTTTAGCTTATAAAAAAAAGCTGTTAGCTTATAAAAAAAAGCTGTTAGCTTATAAAAAAGCTGCTAGCTTATAAAAAAAGCTTTTAGCTTATAAAAAAAAGCTGTTAGCTTATTAAAAAAAAGCTGTTAGCTTGTAAAAAAAATATTAGACTTTCAAGAAATGTAACATTGGTGTACAAAAACATATTTAAAAAATATTAACCTTTAAAAATAAAATAAAAACACTAGAAAACTGATAAGAATGTAAAAATAAACATTCATAAGTGTAGTTTTACATACCGTTATGCTGAACCATAGCAGTTGTTGCTATGTGGTTCTGTACCTTTAAGACTCCTCCGCACTGTATGAGCAAAGGGGACAGCGGTATTTGTCTTCAGACAGTACGGGAACAATTTTCTGTCCGATCCCAATGTTGCAAATTGATAAAAGCATCTGTATAATGAAAATTAAAAAAAATGGGGCATAAAATACATTTTTCTACTTTTCGACTGGTGCCCTGCACGGAAATAATTAGCTATGCTACATGCTAAAATTAGCCTTCCCCTGTACGAACTACGAATTTCACTCGTTTGCAGCTGTCAATTATATTTTCAACCTAATCTAGAAATTGATTTACTATGTGAAAAAAGTTTTAATAAGGTAGAAAATACCTTTTGCTGACTTTGTGCTTGTTCCATTATGAACAGCGTTCCGAACGTCAGTGGCGAAACCTCTCAAACTTCTTCCAATCCACCTCTTATCCCCGCTTCTTTAAGGTATTAGTGATTGTGAAAATAGCGCCCCCTTCATTTCCGGAATGCAATAGTCCCATTTCCATATAAGGTCTGAGACTGACAGTGGTCCGTCCCCGCCCCTTTCCGCATGCTGCAGCCAAAACCCTCTCGGTTATAAACCTGGAGACCCTTCTGCTGGAGCTCCGCCCCGTGACCTCTGACCTGTCAGCAGCTCCAGCCTGAACGGATTGTAGCAGACGCAGCATCAGGACAAAGAAGGGCTTCTTCAGTACGGAGGCCTGTGGGGGACATGGGGACGTAACGTCCTGATCGCTTCAGGACCGGAAAACTTTCACCAGCTTTTTCCATACATGTTAATATCTCAATGTGAAATATCTGAAGCTTTATATCTTTTTCTTTAAGATAGAAATAAAACCTCTAATACAAACAAACTTTCCAAGAAGGAAAGAACTAAAAAATATGTCCAAATTTGGACTATTTCTGAGTTATTATTGCAGGAAATAAATCATCTGATTTCCTTCCACTAACAGATATAAACGTAACTGAATCCATTTTTAATCAGTTAAGAATAAACATGTTTTCAACGAGGCTCTTAATTTGAAATGTCCTTTGACAACAAAGTAGGTCTGTCACAATATGCGGCAGTGGAAGGTGAGGAAGACGCCGTGAAACCAGGAATGTAGAAGGAAAATGATTTCATGAAGATTTCAACAAACCAAAAATCCAAACAACTCAGGACAGCAGGACACAAACCAAAGGAGACGCTGGACTGAAGAGACACTGGGACACAGGTGGGGTTAAATACACGGGACACCTGGGAGCAATCAGGGGAGACGGGACGACATGGAGACACAGAGACATGATGGCATGGAGACATGATGGCATGGAGACACAGAGACATGGAGACGGGACGACATGGAGACACAGAGACATGATGGCATGGAGACACAGAGACATGATGACATGGAGACACAGAGACATGATGACATGGAGACATGATGACATGGAGACAGGGAGACATGATGACATGGAGACACGGAGACATGATGACATGGAGACAGAGACATGATGACATGGAGACATGATGACATGGAGACAGAGACATGATGACATGGAGACAGAGACATGATGACACAGAGACATGATGACATGGAGACACAGAGACATGGAGACGGGACGACATGGAGACATGATGGCATGGAGACACGGAGACATGATGACATGGAGACACAGACATGGAGACTGGACGACATGGAGACACGGAGACATGATGACATGGAGACTGGACGACATGGAGACACGGAGACATGATGACATGGAGACACGGAGACATGATGACATGGAGACATGATGACATGGAGACACAGACATGGAGACACAGAGACATGATGACATGGAGACACAGAGACATGGAGACGGGACGACATGGAGACACAGAGACATGGAGACACAGAGACATGATGACATGGAGACACAGAGACATGGAGACATGATGACACGGAGACATGGAGACACAGAGACATGATGACATGGAGACACGGAGACATGGAGACACAGAGACATGGAGACACAGAGACATGATGACATGGAGACACAGAGACATGGAGACACAGAGACATGATGACATGGAGACACAGAGACATGGAGACACAGAGACATGATGACATGGAGACACAGAGACATGATGACATGGAGACACAGAGACATGAAGACACGGAGACACAGAGACATGATGACATGGAGACATGGAGACACAGAGACATGATGACATGGAGACACGGAGACATGGAGACACAGAGACATGAAGACACCCAATAAACAGAAAAACTCAAATCATGACAAGATCTGAGCCAAACTTTCCCCATGACCCTCAGAGGCCTCCGTAGTTTAATCAATACTTATTAATGCTTGAATATTAATGTCCATATGAGCTGCAGAGTCATGTCAGATTTTACTGAGTCACCAAAATAAAAGCTCAGGTGAGAACAAAGGGGGCGGAGCCTAAACTGCAGGTCAAATGCAGAAATACTCAGACTATTTATCCACTTCAGTGTTTCTCCTCTGGTGTCAGATCTGTGTTTTACCTTCTGACTCGCCGTATTCAGATGTTATCATATCTAGAGTCGTTTTAATCAGTGACAACCAGGCTTTTTCAGAAACTCATAGCTGAACCCGGAGGTCAGAGGTCAACCATCTCTCCATAGGGACACAGATATTTGGAAACAAGTTTGGTTCCTGTTGCCAAATTTCCAAAATATAATTAAGCAAAGTTTTATCATTTCTTATTCCTTTACATTTTCACTTTGTCCAGGTGAGGGCGCTGTTTTGATTGTTTTTATGATTTTTAATGTGTTAATGTTGAGCTCTGTTGCACTTTAATCCTGTTTTATTCATTTTTATTGTTTGTCACATAAATCCTATTAATCTGCATTAAAGACAATAATCAGTTCAGTGTTTATTGATCATTTTACTTCCATCAAAGATCGTTTCATTTCCACCAACCAATCAGAGCCGAGATGAGACCAGCTGCATGCAGTCGCCATGGAGACGCCAGCAGGTGGCGCTAACAGACCCCATCACCCGTAGCAACGGGGTCACGACACATAGCAACGGGGTCACTACACATAGCAACGGGGTCACTACACATAGCAACGGGGTCACAACTCCTCCAGCCTCTGATTGGCTCTCAGCAGCGACACCTGATCTCCTGCATCAATCAACCAATTGATCGACCAACTCATCTGTCCTCCCCTCCATCCGTCCACCTGTCCTCCCCTCCGTCCGTCCACCTGTCCTCCCCTCTGTCTGTCCTCCCCTCCCTCCGTCCCTCCGTCCGTCCATCCGTCTCTCAGCCAGTAATATTCCTGGTTTCCATAAATCCAGATTCTGTATTAAAGGTTTTATTGGCTGAAACACAAAATCATTTTCATGAACAGCATAAAGACTTTTAGACGTTTCAGTGGGTTCCAGGTAACGCAGCTGGGTTCTGGACCGGGTCAGGGAGCAAAACCCAGAACCTCCCTGCAGCGAGGCATCGGGTCTCTGACGAACCTGACCGCAAGCTGCAGAGGTCAGAGGTCACTGGAACATCTGATGGAGACCAGAACCAAACCCTAATACCGCCTCAGTCTGACCACTGCTGGTCCACACCAGCACAGGCAGAACCACGCTCCTCCGGTCCGGTCCTGGTTCTGGTCGGAGCAGGTGGATCCAAACCGCTGCTGCTTCAGTCCGCAGCCTGCAGGTAGCGAGCAGAGAAGGCCTCCAGCTGGGTCTCCAGCTCCGTGGCCCGGTTCCTGGAAGCAGAACCACAGCAGGTTCTCATCAGGTTTGGTCCGACCAGAACCTTTTGGATCTAAGTCCAGTTCTGGCAGTTGGTCTTTTGAATCATTTGTTGCGATGCCAATTCAGATACTGGAGTTTCAGGATGACGGCCATTTTTCAAGATGGCTGTCATTTTTCAGATCAGTTATTACGGTAAAACGTTTTCATAACGGCGATGAACTTTATGTCACATCATGGTTTCCACTTCCTGTTCTTGTGATGTTAAGATTTGCAGCAGAATCAGAAACAGAACGTTGCCGTTAGCCGTCAGCTAACGGTTAGCGCTAACCGTTAGCCGTCAGCTAACGGTTAGCGCTAGCGTGACATCACTGTTCATGTGTTTAGCAGTTCAGCGTTAGCAGAGCTTTGTTTCTTGTGATGTGAGTTAACTTGGTAGAGTTTGTGTCCAACAATGGCAACAACAGGTCTGAGGTTCAAAACCAGGTTTTCACTTCCTGTCTCCGCCGTCCAGCCTGCTCCTGACCTCTGACCTCCAGTTTCAACAATGAAACCGATTCATCCCAACAATAAGCCAACACAAGTAACTACATCCAAACCTCACAATGTAAATAATAATTTTCTCAGTTTTTGTCTCATAAAGACAGAATTGTGACCAGGTAAAGCGCGCCTCACCTGAAGGCCTTGGACTTCCTCTGGGTCGCCTCCAACCTCTGGATCCTGCAGGTGAGCTGCCGGATCCGTCCCTCCAGCTCCGCCTCGCTCAGGTCCACTCTCTGGGTCAGGCGGCTGAAGGTGGAGGTCAGCTCCCTCACAGAGAGAAAACATGGCCGCCGTCAGAACCGCCAGCAGAACCGCCAGCGGGTTCCATAGGGGCGGGGCTTACTTGAACACCTGCTGGCTGCAGGCGGAGCTGGTGACGGGGACGACTGCGCGGAGACGGAAGGCGGCGAACTCTGTGAACTGCTGCTTCAGAGCGCGCTCCTGGCTGGACGCCGTCCAGGTGAGTCTCTCATACAGGTAGAGCAAACCATAGAGGGAGACGGACAGGGCGACCACCCGCCAGCCCACCGAGCGCCACACCTGGACACACAACGCAGCTGGACACACAACGCAGCTGGACACACTGCAGCAACAGGACATGTCCAGATGTGTCCAGAGCTGCATTGTCTCTGTCTCACCAGCAGAACCAGGACACGAAGTGGCCGGTTCTGGACCTGGCCGGTTTGGACTCACCACGCCCCCGATCAACAGCACCGCCATGGACGCCCTGGAGGACACCGACACCAGGCTCGTTGCCATGGAAACCACCAGCCGGTCCTTGAGGGTCGGTCCGTCCTGCAGACACAGCGACGTCTCAGCGCCTCGTCCCGCAGGACGTCTCGTCCCGCAGGACGTCTCGTCCCGCAGGACGTCTCGTCCCGCAGGACGTCTCGTCCCGCAGGACGTCTCGTCCCGCAGGACGTCTCGTCCGACGGCCGGCGCTCACCTCGGGTACGGCCAGCGCCCGGTGGGCGCCGATGAATCGGGTCACCAGGGCGCTCCAGCCCAGGGAGAACCGGAAGTCGATGTCCTCCCTAAAGTCGGCGCAGAGGGCGGCCAGGCTGAGGTCAAAGGTCATCTCGAAGGACGAGGACGGAGCGCAGAGCTGCTGCTGGACGGACGGCGACACCAGGGGACGCACGCTGTCTGGGGACGGACAGGACACAGTCAGACGGACATCCTCTCCTGGGTCAGAACCAGAACCGGGACGGGTCGGTACCGGTCATGAGTCTCTGGGCGTCCCGGATGTCCCTGAGGACGTCGCCATGGCAACGATGGGCCAGACCGCCAGAGAGACGCTGCTCCAGGTGCTGCACCAGTTTCTGCAGAACCAGGTCAGAATCGGGACAAAACCGGGTCAGAATCGGGACAGAACCGGGTCAGAACCGGGTCAGAATCGGGACAGAACCGGGTCAGAACCGGGACAGAATCGGGACAGAACCGGGTCAGAATCGGGACAGAACCGGGTCAGAATTGGGCCCTGGATGTTCTGGATCTGCAGCAGGTCAGTGAGCACCAGGGCGTCCCTTGCTGGCCCGGTGGGTTCGGCAGCAGAACCGCCAAGGTCCGATTGGTTCTGAAGGGTGGTTCCCCTTTAAACCACCTGGACCCGATGCGGCTGAGCCCAGGAACCCAGAACCTCATCAGAACCTGTGGGCTACAGAACTCACAGCTTTGTAGAGCTCCAGGTTCTCCGGGGTCGGGCTGAAGTCGGCCCGGAACTCCTCCACCAGAACCGGCAGAAATTGGATCTGGTCCAGCAGCGCCGCGGCCACCTGGGCGCAGACGGGCACCGGTTACCATAGAAACCACAAAGTCCAACGGTGGCAGCAACTGGAACCAGAACCCGGGTTCTGCTGCGTGGCGGGAACCTTGGCGGTGACGTCGTCCGTCAGGGTTCCGATCCGGTTCTTCACGCTGTCGCTCAGACGGCTCATCTGACCCCGGACGAAGTCCAGACGGTCCCGCTGCTCCTCCCGCTCCTCCAGGCAACAGATCCTGTCACAGGTCAGAGGTCAGAGGGGCTCCCACTGAGCGTGCTCAGCGGGTCACATGACTGATCTCACTTCCTGTCGGCCGAAGCGATGTTGATGGCGTCCATGATGGTCTTGATGGCCTCGGTGATCTGCCACGCCCGCACCGTGTGCTGCTCGAACTTGGTCCGGACCGCCGACTGAGAGATGAACTCCTGTACACAGAGAACCGGGTCAGAACCGGGTCAGAACCGGGTTAGAACCGGGTCAGAACCAACACAATGGGAAAAAACAGGCAGGATTAGAAAAACGCTCAGGATGTGGTTCTGGGTTCTGTGGTTCTGGGTTCTGTGGTTCTGGGTTCTGTGGTTCTGGGTTCTGTGGTTCTGGGTTCTGTGGTTCTGGGTTCTGGGTTCTGTGGTTCTGGGTTCTGGGTTCTGTGGTTCTGGGTTCTGTGGTTCTGTGGTTCTGGGTTCTGTGGTTCTGGGTTCTGTGGTTCTGGGTTCTGGGTTCTGTGGTTCTGTACCTCGAAGGTTCTCTCAAACTGCTGGAACTCTGCCAGCCGGTCCTGGAAGCCTTCAGCCAGTGCGCCCCCTGCAGGACGAGCAGTGATGTTCAGCTCCCTGCTAGGCTAATGCTAATGCTAAGTGTTGTTAGCTGTGATTTTAAGTTCAGTCGTTTCATTTTTAAAGTTTATTTTCAGCAATAAGGAAATTGAAATTGAAAACAAGAATCATGTGAAGAACTTTATAATTTATAGATGGAAGGAGTTTGATTTCAGTCTAAATAGTGAAGAAGCAAAATATTGGTTTTTGGTAATTATTAATAAACTGTGTTCCAAAATATTATGCAAATTGGATTAAAGTCTCATAAATATTATAGTTTTTGTTGTGCCATTAAATTTATTCGTGTCATTATAATGACTTTCAGAGAGCTGCTTGATCACTTTAATCTATTAAAGTAAATCTACTTCAGAAGGATGTTCCACATTATTCATCAGGATTCCAGCAACATGACAAGCTATGAAAACATGAGATGTTTCATGAAAACTGAATTCTTATCATCGTACTGTGAAGAGATTTGTGGCTGATTGAGAACAAAGATGGTTTGTGCAGATAAAAGCTAAAGAAGAAGTTTTTGTTAGATTCCTAGGATCAAGAGATCAGCTGCTAAAACAGCCTTAAAAGCAGCAAACAGTTATAAAAGCTGCCGGACCTGAACGCCTCACAGGGAGCCTCCATCCTGACCAGATGCCTCAGCCGGCTCCTCTCCATGTGGAGGAGCAGCAGCTCTACTCTGAGCTTCTCTCTCAGGAAACCCGTTTCAGCCCATGTATCCCAGATCTCGTTCTTTCAGTCGTGACCCAAAGCTCCTGACCAGAGATGAGGGTGGGAACGTAGATCGACCGGTAAATCGAGAGCTTCGCTTTCTGGCTCAGCTCTCTCCACCATGACGGGCCGGTCCAGTTCCCTGCAGACGCTGCTCCAATCCGCCTGTCGATCTCCCGTTCCCTTCTTCCCCCATTAGTGAACCCAGAGATACTTGAACTGCTCCACTTGGGGCAGGACATCCCCCCCGGGTAGAGAAGCTCTCCACCCTTTTCCGGCTCCAGACCGCGGCGTCGGAGCCACCGATCCTCATCCCGGCCGCTTCGCACTCGGCGGCGAACCGCTCCGGCGAGAGCTGCGGGTCACGACCCGATGGAGCCAACAGAACCACATCGTCCGCAAGAAGCAGAGATGGATCCTGAGGCCACCAAAACGGATCCCCTCAACGCCTCGGCTGCTCTGCAGATTCTGTCCATGAAGTGATGAACAGAATCTGTGACAAAAGCCCTGATGGAGTCCAACCTCACCGGGAACGAGCCCAACTTATTGCTGGCAAGTGGACCAGACTCTGACACGGTCATACACCTGACAGCCCGTATCAAAGGGCCCGGTACCCCAGACTCCCGTATGTGAGTGAAAGCCCCATCTCACAGGGGATTCCAGCAGACGGTCCCTGCAGACCCTCACCGCAGGTTTGGGCCTGCCAGGTCTAACCGGCATCGTCCCCATCAGAGCCAAGTCACCACCAGGATACCGACCTGCTGGGAAACTCAAGCCCAACCGCAAACAGAGGAAAGAACTGAGCAGCGAGTGACAACCAGAAACACCAAGTGTTCACGTCTCACTCACTGGCAACAGGTTTCTCTCTATGAACTTGGTAGTTTAGCAGTTTGGTGGTTTAGCAGTTTGGTAGTTAACAGTTTTTTAGTTTAGCAGTTTGGTAGTTAGCAGTTTGGTGGTTAGCAGTTTGGTAGTTAGCAGTTTGGTGGTTTAGCAGTTTGGTAGTTAGCAGTTTGGTGGTTTAGCAGTTTGGTAGTTAACAGTTTGGTGGTTTAGCAGTTTGGTAGTTAGCAGTTTGGTGGTTTAGCAGTTTGGTAGTTAACAGTTTGGTAGTTTAGCAGTTTGGTGGTTTAGCAGTTTGGTAGTTTAGCAGTTTGGTAATTTAGCAGTTTGGTGGTTTAGAAGTTTGGTAGTTAGCAGTTTGGTAGTTAGCAGTTTGGTGGTTAGCAGTTTGGTAGTTAGCAGTTTGGTAGTTAGCAGTTTGGTGGTTTAGCAGTTTGGTGGTTTAGCAGTTTGGTAGTTAACAGTTTTTTAGTTTAGCAGTTTGGTAGTTAGCAGTTTGGTGGTTAGCAGTTTGGTAGTTAGCAGTTTGGTGGTTTAGCAGTTTGGTAGTTAGCAGTTTGGTGGTTTAGCAGTTTGGTAGTTAACAGTTTGGTGGTTTAGCAGTTTGGTAGTTAGCAGTTTGGTGGTTTAGCAGTTTGGTAGTTAACAGTTTGGTAGTTTAGCAGTTTGGTGGTTTAGCAGTTTGGTAGTTTAGCAGTTTGGTAATTTAGCAGTTTGGTGGTTTAGAAGTTTGGTAGTTAGCAGTTTGGTAGTTAGCAGTTTGGTGGTTAGCAGTTTGGTAGTTAGCAGTTTGGTAGTTAGCAGTTTGGTGGTTTAGCAGTTTAGTTTGGTTGTTTAGCGGTTTGGTAGTTTTTAGCAGTTTGGTGGTTTAGCAGTTTGGTGGTTTAGCAGTTTAGTTTGGTTGTTTAGCGGTTTGGTAGTTTTTAGCAGTTTGGTGGTTAGCAGTTTGGTAGTTAGCAGTTTGGTGGTTTAGCAGTTTAGTTTGGTAGTTTAGCAGTTTGGTTGTTTAGCGGTTTGGTAGTTTTTAGCAGTTTGGTGGTTTAGCAGTTTAGTTTGGTAGTTTAGCAGTTTGGTTGTTTAGCGGTTTGGTAGTTTTTAGCAGTTTGGTGGTTTAGCAGTTTGGTGGTTTAGCAGTTTAGTTTGGTTGTTTAGCGGTTTGGTAGTTTTTAGCAGTTTGGTGGTTTAGCCCATTAGCCTGTGGATGTTGTGTTCGTCTCCCAGTTAGTTTTGTGTTATTATTCTTCATAAATTCACTTAGTAAGAATTTCAGACTTTCGTCCTTCGCAACCTTCTGGGGAAACCCGTCATATTTCCAGAACCTGGTCCTCATCAGGAACCAGAACCTGATTCATCCGACCCAGTTCCCCTCCGTCCCTCCGTCTCACCTGTCTCCGGCATGCCCTGGTTCCGCTGCGTTCTGCAGATCAGAGCCTCCTTGGCAGAGATGAAGAAGATTCTGCTAGCGGCCCGGTCCGGCTCAACAACCCGCAGCTCCTCCGACAGGAAGCTGATGCAGCGGTCCAGATGCTGCTTCTTCACCTGGTCGATGAGCTCGGGCTCCGTCACCGAAGCGTCCCAACGGTTATGGAGGATGAAGACGTTCGGCTTGGAGATCCGCTCACTGACCTTATGGAAGAACAGCTTCTCCTGGACAGAACCGGAGCAGAACCGCTTCAATTACAGGAACTGGGCCAGAGCTCGGACCAGAGCTCGGACCAGAGCTGGGTCAGCTACTAGATCCCGGGTCCGAACAAAACTGGGTCAAAGCAGAACAAAACCGAGCCAGAGGTCCGATCAGAAGTCTCCACCAGGTTCTGTTGATGCAGATGCTGGACAGGCCAAGAACGCCAATGGTCCAACCCGACCAGAACTGGACCTCCTCCACTATATGCAGGTGGCTCCTTTCAGTAGAACTGGTTCTGGTTCCTCTGGACCCAGATGGAGAGGACTGGTTGTGGTTCTGATGATGTTATCCTGGGCTGGTTCTTCACCAGAACCAGAACCCGTCCGGTTCTGTCTGAGGGATCTCCTTCCAGGTGAAGCTCTGCCTCCATCTGGTTCTGATCCGGTCCGGTTCTTGCATAATGGACCGGGTTTGGCTGAGCAAGACCAGACCTGGGCTCAGAGATATCGAGTCTGGTTGGGATTGGATCAGAATCTATTTAGATGTTCTGATCCAGAACCACTTCCGTAGGAAGAACCGCCTGCAGATCTGGACCAGCAGTCCGAATTCTGACTGTTTTATGAAAACGGTTCTGGTTCTGGTTCTTTTTATTATTGAATATTTTTTGTGGATATTTCTGATGAGAGAAAAAGTTTGGACACCCTGGTCTGGCGTTTGGACTGGTTCTGAATTCATCTTCCTGAACCGGACCTGCCAGAAAGAGGAGGAACCAGAACATCTGGTCCACCTGCAGGAACCGGCCCTTTAAGATGATGATGATGAAGTGGCCTTCCTCACCGTGTTCATCAGGGTAGACTCGGCGTTCCCCACCAGAACGAAGACGTCGGCATCCAAACAGAACTTATCGATCCAGCTGTCCAACTCCAGGGTGACGTCTGTCCCTGGGCTGCCAGGGGTCAGAGGTCAGAGTTAATATGAATCTCTCTGGTTCTGGTTCTGACAAAGACTTCAGAAGGATTCCCTCAGAACCCAGATGGGCCCAGTGGTTCTGTAAGGAGGAATGTTCCTCCATACAGTTCTGCCCTGAGGTTCTCCTGAATCATTTAGAAACGACAGAACCAGAACCAGTTCTGATGGGTCTGAACTCAGACAGATCAGAACCTGATGGCCTCACCTGTCCATCAGAACCAGGTCGTCCCTCAGCAGGGCGCAGCGGTTCTTGGGCCAGAACACTCGGACCAGGCTGCCCGAGTCCAGCGCCGGGTCCATGTGCAGCGCGTGGGCCAGCTGGTTGACTGTCTGCAGGACACAGAGGGAGCGCAGTCAGAACCGGGTCAGAAACGGGCCCCCCGGTGGTTCTGTTCACCCACAGAGACGGCGTGGCGCTCGGCAGACGCCTCGGTGGTGAGGTAGGGCTCGGCGGCGTCCGTCCCCTCCACGCTCAGGAAGCAGTTGGTGGTGTGGCCGATGCCGCTGGGCAGCACGCGCTCCCGCAGCATGGCGTTGATCACCGTGCTCTTCCCGTTGCTGGTTCTGAAGACGGATAACACAAGGGAACCGGGCCAGAACCAGGTCCCCGATTACATCATGGATCAAGAGAAACATCGCCGTCTACTTCTGGTCTGGTAAACTTATCTGGTTTGTCTGCAGCAACTGGATCAGAACTAAATGGGTCTTAACTGAACACTAAGATCAGCTTCAAGGGGATCAGATGGAGGCTTCAGAACCAGGTTCTGCTCCGGCTGGACGACCTGCTAGAAGATGTCCATGTTCTCAAACAAGTCATGACCCAGATGCTTCAGAGGAATAAGAACCAGCAGAAAAACTGGACCTGAAACCCAACAAGAACCCGACAGGAACCCAACAAGAACCCAATGGGAACCCAACAAGAACCAGACAGGAACCCAATGGGAACCCAATAAGAACCCGACAGGAACCCAATAAGAACCCGACAGGAACCCAATAAGAACCAGACAGGAACCCTACAAGAACCAGACAGGAACCCAATGGGAACCCGACAGGAACCCAACAAGAACCAGACAGGAACCCAATGGGAACCCGACAGGAACCCAACAAGAACCCGACAGGAACCCAACAAGAACCCGACAGGAACCCAATGGGAACCCAATAAGAACCTGACAGGAACCCAACAAGAACCCAATGGGAACCCAACAAGAACCAGACAGGAACCCTACAAGAACCCAATGGGAACCCAACAAGAATCCAATGGGAACCCAATAAGAACCCGACAGGAACCCAATAAGAACCCGACAGGAACCCAACAAGAACCAGACAGGAACCCAATGGGAACCCAATAAGAACCCAACAGCAAGTTTTCTCCAGTAAATTGTAAGTCTGGCAAACAAGAGAGTTTCATCTCTCCGTCCTTGATTTTGATCATCATGAACAAAATATTGAGTTGGTGTGAGAGGGCTTACTGGGCCTGCAGTGGACCTGCAGTGGACGTGCAGTAGACCTGCAGTGGACCTGCAATGGGCCTGCAGTGGGCCTGCAGTGGGCCTGCAGTGGGCCTGCAGTGGGCCTGCAGTGGACGTGCAGTAGACCTGCAGTGGACCTGCAATGGGCCTGCAGTGGGCCTGCAGTGGGCCTGCAGTGGGCCTGCAGTGGACCTGCAGTAGACCTGCAGTGGACCTGCAGTAGACCTGCAGTGGACCTGCAATGGGCCTGCAGTGGGCCTGCAGTGGGCCTGCAGTGGACCTGCAGTGGACCTGCAGTGGGCCTGCAGTGGGCCTGCAGTGGACCTGCAGTGGACCTGCAGTGGACGTGCAGTGGACCTGCAGTGGACCTGCAATGGGCCTGCAGTGGGCCTGCAGTGGGCCTGCAGTGGGCCTGCAGTGGACCTGCAGTGGACCTGCAGTAGACCTGCAGTAGACCTGCAGTGGACCTGCAGTGGACCTGCAATGGGCCTGCAGTGGACCTGCAGTGGACCTGCAGTGGGCCTGCAGTGGGCCTGCAGTGGACCTGCAGTAGACCTGCAGTGGACCTGCAGTGGACCTGCAGTGGGCCTGCAGTGGACCTGCAGTAGACCTGCAGTGGACCTGCAGTGGACCTGCAATGGGCCTGCAGTGGACCTGCAGTGGGCCTGCAGTGGGCCTGCAGTGGACCTGCAGTGGACCTGCAGTGGGCCTGCAGTGGGCCTGCAGTGGACCTGCAGTGGACCTGCAATGGGCCTGCAGTGGACCTGCAGTGGACCTGCAGTGGGCCTGCAGTGGGCCTGCAGTGGACCTGCAGTGGGCCTGCAGTGGACCACCTCAACACTGGGACCGCTGGCCTGAGTGACTTTTGGAAGAGATACTTTTTATGAACCGTTTTTGCAGAATGATTGTGGAGCCCAACTGAGACGTGAGGACCTGATAACTTTCCTCCCTTGTGTTCGAAGCAGAAAGTTGGACCAAAATATGATTCGGGCAGGAAGCTGTTTAGATGGATAAGAACATCAATTTGTGATTAATTGGCTTGATTTGCAAATCTGAAAAGGAACGGATGTCTAAAGTTCACAAGGTCGATTGGGTCTAGAAGGGTCCAACACACACCAGAGTATAGAAAAGGTTGTTGTCAAGAATACAGGGAGATTTTGGGGAAAGACTTTTGGAATTGATTGTGTATTGATCCATGATCACCGTGCATAAATCTCTCGTCCCGCCACAGCTGGCAGTGAACGACTCGTGTCTGAGTTTTATTTGTTTACTAATATAATCAAGAGTTTTGCGCCCTAACCCTGAAACAGGAAGCCAATAGAAACCCAACATGCTGGTGGAACACCGCCCCCTGCAAGTGGGAAGTAGTTCTGACCCGGTTCTCGTCACCTGAAGTTTTCCTGACCGGTTCTGACCTGCCAAAGAAGGCCACCTTCATGGTTCTCCGCAGCAGAACCTCCCTGATGGCGGCCAGCTTGTTGGCACAGCTCTGCATCTCCAGGTTCTGCTCCTCCACAGCAACCGGACCCAGGTCCTGGTTCTGAACAGCTTCTGGAACCACAGCGGACAAACCAACATGAGCGGTTCTGAAGGTCCAAACTGGTGAGGTCTGAAGGGGGTCAGAACCTTTACTGGTTCTGGACTGGTTGGAGATGAACGTCCAGAAATACCAGAAATACCAGGAGTGTGTGTGTATATATATATATATGTGTGTATATATATATATATATATGTGTGTGTATATATATATATATATATGTGTGTGTATATATATATATATGTGTGTGTATATATATATATATATGTGTGTGTGTGTGTGTGTGTGTGTTTCTGACCGTCCACGAAGGCCGACCCGTTCTTCACAAACTCCAGCAGCTGGTCGAAGATCGACCCGATCGATCGCTTAGCAACCACGAACCGGTGCAGAGGAGACGGGTCGTCTGGGTCCATGGCTCCTACACACACAGAGGACTGACAGGACCAGAACCAGAACCAGAACCAGATGGTCCTGACTCTGCTGAAGGTAAATGGTCCCATCAGAACCAACCGGACCTGCAACAGACCAACAGAACCGTGACCTTACCGATCTGTGGGTCTCCCAGGTTCAAATGTCAGTCCTGCTTCAGGGTCTGGTCCCAGTCGGGTCAGCGCCAGCTCCCATCGTGGCCCGGTCCAACTGGCGGACAGAACTCTGCTTCAGCGTCTAAAGAGCTTAGAGTCTCTGAGGAACTTTGATCCACTTAGCAGGATTAGAGCCGCAGACACTAGGAGACACTAGGAGACACTAGGAGACACTAGGAGACACTAGGAGACACTAGGAGACACTAGGAGACAGAAGGGGACACTAGGAGACACTAGGAGACACTAGGAGACACTAGGAGACACTATGAGACACTAGGAGACACTAGGAGACAGAAGGGGACACTAGGAGACAGAAGGGGACACTAGGAGACAGAAGGGGACACTAGGAGACAGAAGGGGACACTAGGAGACACTAGGAGACAGAAGGGGACACTAGGAGACAGAAGGAGACACTAGGAGACACTGGGAGACAGAAGGTGACACTAGGAGACAGAAGGGGACACTAGGAGACAGAAGGAGACACTAGGAGACAGAAGGGGACACTAGGAGACAGTAGGAGACACTAGGAGACAGAAGGGGACACTAGGAGACAGAAGGAGACACTAGGAGACAGAAGGTGACACTAGGAGACAGAAGATGACACTAGGAGACAGAAGGGGACACTAGGAGACAGAAATGGACACTAGGAGACAGAAGGTGACACTAGGAGACAGAAGGAGACACTAGGAGACAGAAGGGGACACTAGGAGATGGAAGGGGACACTAGGAGACAGAAATGGACACTAGGAGACAGAAGGGGACACTGGGAGACAGAAGGGGACACTAGGAGACAGAAGGAGACACTAGGAGACAGAAGGTGACACTAGGAGACAGAAGGGGACACTAGGAGATGGAAGGGGACACTAGGAGACAGAAATGGACACTAGGAGACAGAAGGGACACTGGGAGACAGAAGGGGACACTGGGAGACAGAAGGTGACACTAGGAGACAGAAGGAGACACTAGGAGACAGAAGGAGACACTAGGAGACACTAGGAGACAGAAAGAGACACTAGGAGACAGAAGGAGACACTAGGAGACAGAAGGGGACACTAGGAGACAGAAGGGGACACTAGGAGACAGAAGGAGACACTAGGAGACAGAAGGGGACACTAGGAGACAGAAGGAGACACTGGGAGACAGAAGGGGACACTAGGAGACAGAAGATGACACTAGGAGACAGAAGGGGACACTAGGAGACAGAAGGAGACACTGGGAGACAGAAGGGGACACTAGGAGACAGAAGATGACACTAGGAGACAGAAATGGACACTAGGAGACAGAAGGTGACACTAGGAGACAGAAGACACTAGGAGACAGAAGGGGACACTAGGAGATGGAAGGGGACACTAGGAGACAGAAGGAGACACTAGGAGACACTGGGAGACAGAAGGTGACACTAGGAGACGGAAGGGGACACTAGGATACAGAAATGGACACTAGGAGACAGAAGGTGACACTAGGAGACAGAAGGTGACACTAGGAGACAGAAGGTGACACTAGGAGACGGAAGGGGACACTAGGAGATGGAAGGGGACACTAGGAGACAGAAGGAGACACTGGGAGACAGAAATGGACACTAGGAGACAGAAGGTGACACTAGGAGACAGAAGGAGACACTAGGAGACAGAAGGGGACACTAGGAGATGGAAGGGGACACTAGGAGACAGAATGGACACTAGGAGACAGAAGGGGACACTGGGAGACAGAAGGGGACACTAGGAGACAGAAGGAGACACTAGGAGACAGAAGGTGACACTAGGAGACAGAAGGTGACACTAGGAGACAGAAGGAGACACTAGGAGACAGAAGGGGACACTAGGAGATGGAAGGGGACACTAGGAGACAGAAGGAGACACTAGGAGACACTGGGAGACAGAAGGTGACACTAGGAGACAGAAGGTGACACTAGGAGACGGAAGGGGACACTAGGATACAGAAATGGACACTAGGAGACGGAAGGGGACACTAGGAGACAGAAATGGACACTAGAGACAGAAGGTGACACTAGGAGACAGAAGGGGACACTGGGAGACAGAAGGGGACACTAGGAGATGGAAGGGGACACTAGGAGACAGAAGGAGACACTAGGAGACACTGGGAGACAGAAGGTGACACTAGGAGACAGAAGGTGACACTAGGAGACGGAAGGGGACACTAGGATACAGAAATGGACACTAGGAGACGGAAGGGGACACTAGGAGACAGAATGGACACTAGGAGACAGAAGGTGACACTAGGAGACAGAAGGTGACACTAGGAGACAGAAGGAGACACTAGGAGACAGAAGGGGACACTAGGAGATGGAAGGGGACACTAGGAGACAGAAATGGACACTAGGAGACAGAAGGGGACACTGGGAGACAGAAGGGGACACTAGGAGACAGAAGAGACACTAGGAGACAGAAGGTGACACTAGGAGACAGAAGGTGACACTAGGAGACAGAAGGTGACACTAGGAGACAGAAGGAGACACTAGGAGACAGAAGGGGACACTAGGAGATGGAAGGGGACACTAGGAGACAGAAGGAGACACTAGGAGACACTGGGAGACAGAAGGTGACACTAGGAGACAGAAGGTGACACTAGGAGACGGAAGGGGACACTAGGATACAGAAATGGACACTAGGAGACGGAAGGGGACACTAGGAGACAGAAATGGACACTAGGAGACAGAAGGTGACACTAGGAGACAGAAGGGGACACTGGGGACAGAAGGGGACACTAGGAGATGGAAGGGGACACTAGGAGACAGAAGGAGACACTAGGAGACACTGGGAGACAGAAGGTGACACTAGGAGACAGAAGGAGACACTAGGAGACAGAAGGGGACACTAGGAGATGGAAGGGGACACTAGGAGACAGAAGGAGACACTAGGAGACACTGGAGACAGAAGGTGACACTAGGAGACAGAAGGTGACACTAGGAGACGGAAGGGGACACTAGGACAGAAATGGACACTAGGAGACGGAAGGGGACACTAGGAGACAGAAATGGACACTAGGAGACAGAAGGTGACACTAGGAGACAGAAGGGGACACTGGAGACAGAAGGGGACACTAGGAGATGGAAGGGGACACTAGGAGACAGAAGGAGACACTAGGAGACACTGGGAGACAGAAGGTGACACTAGGAGACAGAAGGTGACACTAGGAGACGGAAGGGGACACTAGGATACAGAAATGGACACTAGGAGACGAAGGGGACACTAGGAGACAGAAATGGACACTAGGAGACAGAAGGTGACACTAGGAGACAGAAGGTGACACTAGGAGACAGAAGGAGACACTAGGAGACAGAAGGGGACACTAGGAGATGGAAGGGACACTAGGAGACAGAAATGGACACTAGGAGACAGAAGGGGACACTGGGAGACAGAAGGGGACACTAGGAGACACTGGGAGACAGAAGGTGACACTAGGAGACAGAAATGGACACTAGGAGACAGAAGGTGACACTAGGAGACAGAAGGGGACACTGGAGACAGAAGGGACACTAGGAGATGGAAGGGGACACTAGGAGACAGAAGGAGACACTAGGAGACACTGGGAGACAGAAGGTGACACTAGGAGACAGAAGGAGACACTAGGAGACAGAAGGGGACACTAGGAGACAGAAGGGGACACTAGGAGACAGAAGGAGACACTGGGAGACAGAAGGGGACACTAGGAGACAGAAGGTGACACTAGGAGACGGAAGGGGACACTAGGATACGAAATGGACACTAGGAGACGGAAGGGGACACTAGGAGACAGAAATGGACACTAGGAGACAGAAGGTGACACTAGGAGACAGAAGGGGACACTGGGAGACAGAAGGGGACACTAGGAGATGGAAGGGGACACTAGGAGACAGAAGGAGACACTAGGAGACACTGGAGACAGAAGGTGACACTAGGAGACAGAAGGTGACACTAGGAGACGGAAGGGGACACTAGGAATACAGAAATGGACACTAGGAGACGGAAGGGGACACTAGGAGACAGAAATGGACACTAGGAGACAGAAGGTGACACTAGGAGACAGAAGGTGACACTAGGAGACAGAAGGAGACACTAGGAGACAGAAGGGGACACTAGGAGATGGAAGGGGACACTAGGAGACAGAAATGGACACTAGGAGACAGAAGGGGACACTGGGAGACAGAAGGGGACACTAGGAGACAGAAGGACACTAGGAGACAGAAGGTGACACTAGGAGACAGAAGGTGACACTAGGACAGAAGGTGACACTAGGAGACAGAAGGAGACACTAGGAGACAGAAGGGGACACTAGGAGATGGAAGGGACACTAGGAGACAGAAGGAGACACTAGGAGACACTGGGAGACAGAAGGTGACACTAGGAGACAGAAGGTGACACTAGGAGACGGAAGGGGACACTAGGATACAGAAATGGACACTAGGAGACGGAAGGGGACACTAGGAGACAGAAATGGACACTAGGAGACAGAAGGTGACACTAGGAGACAGAAGGGGACACTGGGAGACAGAAGGGGGACACTAGGAGATGGAAGGGGACACTAGGAGACAGAAGGACACTAGGAGACACTGGGAGACAGAAGGTGACACTAGGAGACAGAAGGTGACACTAGGAGACGGAAGGGGACACTAGGATACAGAAATGGACACTAGGAGACGGAAGGGGACACTAGGAGACAGAAATGGACACTAGGAGACAGAAGGGACACTAGGAGACAGAAGGAGACACTAGGAGACACTGGGAGACAGAAGGTGACACTAGGAGACAGAAATGGACACTAGGAGACAGAAGGTGACACTGGAGACAGAAGGGGACACTGGGAGACAGAAGGGGACACTAGGAGATGGAAGGGGACACTAGGAGACAGAAGGAGACACTAGGAGACACTGGGAGACAGAAGGTGACACTAGGAGACAGAAGGAGACACTAGGAGACAGAAGGGGACACTAGGAGATGGAAGGGGACACTAGGAGACAGAAGAGACTGGGAGACAGAAGGTGACACTAGGAGACAGAAGGTGACACTAGGAGACGGAAGGGGACACTAGGATACAGAAATGGACACTAGGAGACGGAAGGGGACACTAGGAGACAGAAATGGACACTAGGAGACAGAAGGTGACACTAGGAGACAGAAGGGGACACTGGGAGACAGAAGGGGACACTAGGAGAT